TTGCAAAGTTTGAGCTACGGGGCTAGGAGTTGGCACAGGAAAGGTAAGTGAGCATGGTGATCACGAATATATTATCGACAGGGCCGGGCGGAGCCGTGTTTGTCAGCTGGTGTCGGAATAAAATTGATGTTACAGCTTTTTAGACGTCAAATGGAGCAATAAAAGATACTGCTATCTAAGAAGGAGTACGTGGTATGAAGTATTCTGACACTTGCCACTGCCTCAGGTCTATAGAGGCTGTAGCGATTAATTATATCTTAGCCACTGGTAACCTTTCACTCCAGAACACGCTCATAATTTTTTTGCCTGAAGAGCAGATAGGAAAAGCAGATTTTGAATCAACGCCACAAGCACTCAATGCTAATTTGTGGTGTCGACCACTTTCGCTTCGTGACCCTCCTCCGTATTTGACGTGGCTGCAAGTGATTAGCCCCGATCCTATATGCCATTGGGCAGATGATCCTAACAGATTCAAAGCCTTGAGTACCTGTAGTTACAAGGGCTATAGCTGCAGCAGTTTGGACAGAAGCTAATTCCGGTGCAGAAATGACTCGATCCCATTTGATTGATGTGTTGGACAAGGCTCTCGCAACAATATTTGACGCAGAAGTGGCGAGCTAGAAAGCATGATAGTGTGGTAACCACAACCATTTTTCGAATCATACCTGTGTTAGAGGTGGATCAATATCGTAAATCATCAAACCCTTCGATCTAGTTGGCAGTTTTATCGGATGATTCAAATCTTTCGCTGTGTAATGGTCCTGATTAACGCAAGACGAATGCCATTGTGGAAAGGCCTTAAATAGACTTGGTGTTTATGTTTGTATGTTCAGCTCAGCGCTTACCTCATTCATGGATTCAGCATGTCTTACAACCGCAATTTTTCTTCCGACACTCGGTGAATTTATCGTGCTTGCTGAAACGTTACTTGCTTGTTTGAGAGTTATGCAAGACATAAAAAGTTGCATCTTCTACGGGCTCAACACTGGATCAAAACTACCTTCGCTATGTAATGCTCACTCAAATACCTCAGTTCGGACCGCAGCACAGAGGTTTTCAGTGCTGGCTTCCTCGCTTCTGACATCCACGATCTTCTTGGTCGCCGGTGTCTGCGTTCGCGAGATCAGCAAAAATCGCAGTCAGCTGATATTTTTAGGCTATTCCATTCCCATGAACATGTCTGCCCGGCTCGTTCTCTTCCCCAGGACCTACCTGCTTCACGGGGAATTCATTCAGACGTTCGTAGTGTCCATCTGTCGTCTATTCTTCTCGACTTAAGATGTTACCGGATTATTTATTTCGCTTGTTCCGCTTGGTCACGAAGATGGGACATTTTTCTCATATCTGCACTGGGAGTCCAACAAGATTTTGTTTCTGTCGAGTTATCTCCAGAGGAGTGCGCTCAAGCCCTCTGTGGGTGGTCCTTAGAGCTTTCGACGCGGCTACGGTATCAGCGCAAGTATGAGCTGCGTAACAGAGCGCCGGGAGACCGGTTGAGTCGAAGAGATTGGCAGAAAGCTTCGCGTCCGCCAGTTGGTCGATGACTTTCTGCAGTTATCCTGAAGCGGCCAGTTCTGTCCTTCTTCTTCTGTTAAGTTTCCTCAAGTCCTTCTCCATGTTCATCGAACGTCCAGAATACAGTGAGAAGGCGTCTCCGTGTTAAGCGTGCCTTCCAGTTCCAAATCCGCATTTTCACAAAGGGCTTTCTCCATGAGCTGAGTCTTCATCCTACTTATTTGCAATCCGATCTTCTCCCGATTCGTTCATCGTCTGTGCTTCAATGATACTGCTCGAAAGGAGAACGATATCGTCCGCAAAACGAAGGTTCGACAAGAATCTCCAACTTATATGTCTCTTTCGCCCCAAGACTGACTTCATCACCCACTGCAAGGCCGCGGTGAACATCTTCGGCGGAATTGTGTCGCCTTGTCGAATCCCCTTTCCAACTGGAATGCTCAGAGGCGATGGAATAGCTGCCTCGGTGTTGTACAGTCCATGTAGAAGTCGGCTAGTGTCCTCACGTAAGCTG